ATTGGGTTTTTCATTTTGTGATGAGGTAATCGTTTTAATTTTGATAGGTTCAATTTTTGTAGTTTTCATTTACTTTTCGTGGTACATAACATAGAAAATAACATAATGTATGTGCACTTTGAACTGGCACATTTAGTAATATATCAGTTACTTTTCGTGGTCATATATTATATTAGATAATATCCTTTACAGTATTAAAGTTTAAATTATTATGTTACATTATTAGATAATCATTTTATAAAGTTATTTTGAAAGTATTCAAATTAATGGGGAAAATCTGAAAATAACGGTTTAACGTATTTGCTATATTTAGTATTTTTCTCGCTTGTATTCTGTTCCTTGTTTCGAGTAACACCGTTACCACACCACCGCTCCCCATTGATACTACACCGAGCGTTGCAATCTTAAGCGACGTGAAAGTGGGGAGAGCTAGCTACGATTAATGCGATCTTAGAACTTTAATCCGGGCTCTAATCATAACTTTTTAAACAGCGACCGCCACTTAAAACCTGCGGGAGGTTACTTAGGGTCATGACCTTGACAACATATGACAAGGTCGTCGGGGGTGGCTTCCCTTTTCTAGATATTTACCAAAAAATAAAATGTAGAGGTTATCCATTATGTAAGAAAATGTTGATGGCATCTACGAGGGCAAGTCAATAAGTTTTTAGAAAAACAAAGTAAAACACATTTTTTTGATCGACTAATTTTTATTTCTTAACATAGTCTCCTTTCAACTCGATACTTGATCCAATGATTCTACAACTTTTTCGAGCTGTACAAATAATATGATTTGTCCAACCTTTCAAAATAAGCCTCTATTTCGGCGATGAGCTGCTCTCTGGTGGTGAATCTCTTTCCTCCGAACCATTTCTTCAGGTTTGGAAACAGGAAATAGTCGCAGGAGGCTAAATCTAGCCATCGGTGCCGGGCACGTGTGAACCCGTGCATTATCTTGATGGAAGAACAACTTTTTCTTCGCCAAATGAAAATGTTTTTTCTTTAAAATGTTAAAGCGGTCCAATAGGGCTGCGTAGTAATCGCCATTGATCATTTTCTTCGACGGAAGGTAATCGATATTATACCGCGTGCATCCCAAAAAACTGTGGCCATCACCTTTCCGGCCAACTTCACCGTCTTCGCTTTCTTAGGAGCTAGTTCACCCGGTAAAGCCCATTGTTTTGACTGTTCCTTCGCCTCGGGTGTGAAGTAATGGATCCATGTTTCGTTCATAGTAATGAATCGACGCAGAAATTCATCTAGATTACGTTGAAACATCTCCAAATATTGTTTTAAAATCGTTACACGTGCTTATGGTACACAGTGAGCAAACGCGGCACCCATCTTGCCGATATAGCTTCTTCATACCTAATTGTTCGTGCAAAATTGAAATCGCTGTGCCATGTGATATGCCTGTGGCCTCAACAAACTCGCGCACTTTCATTCGTCGATCAGTTAAAACAATATCGTGGATTTTATCGATGATTTCTGGCGTAGCAGCCTCAATTGGACGTCCCGAATGAGATGCATCACATGTGGATGTACGACCAAGTTTAAATTCATTCACCTAATTGTATGCAGTCGCAAACGCTGGTGCAGTTCTGGCCAAGCCTACCTCGTTGACGAGGACCTGGGCTAATAATATATAGAAGAAGATAGATGGTGCAGATGTGCTATGAACATCCAACTCAGCTTTGATTTTTTTCGGTGTTAATCCTATATGTAGATGTTTGATCACTGAACGAAACTCGTTTTTTTCCATTTTGCAAAAAATACAAAAGTTGTTCGCTTTACTCGTCTACAGAAATGAAACCTCTAAATGAATTTCGCTCAAAATTTGACAGTAATCAGCTAAAAGATGTTAGTTGTCAAAAAGTAATGTGACATGACATTACGAGTGCCCTCTGACAGATTTTCTAAAAACTTATTGACTTGCCCTCGTATTAAATTGTTTTGTTGGAATGTTGGATGACACAAACGGAATATCCTATCGACAACACCTCTTTTATGACACACAGGATGGTGTGAATGAAAATTGAGGAATCTACCAGAAAAAGTGGCTTTGCGATAACCATATCAAACTACTCTCTTTAACAATATTATATTGTATTTATTTAATGATAATATGTCAAAATTGACTATAGTGATTGTATCACTAAATGTATCTGTAAAGATGTTTATATGATGTGAGCAAAAAACGTGATCAAAATATAGTGATGTAATATACAAAATATCCCGTTTTAACTTAGAAAACAAAATATCTAAAAAACAATGCATTAAAAAATGTTTCAAATAAAAGTTATAGAACATGAAGAGGAGTTACTCTAAATTTTGCATCTAATAAGGCTCAAGTTGTATTGCAAAATATAATCTTGAACGCTATTTTACGCCTGTTTGAGGCTTACGGAAAATTACCATAAACAAAATTTTCTTTTTTTTCGAATATGAATGTTTAATAAAACATATAAGCGTATCTGTTTAAAAGATTCAACTGCAACTTTATTGGACTCAAAGTGACCTCTAGGCTCAAAATTTGAGTAATTCATTTGATGTAGCTCTCTTCAAATCCTACAAGTTTTACGTAAAACATTCTTGTGTAAATATAATACATTGTTTTCGAGATATTTTGTTATCTGAATATTATACAATGGGACACCTGTATATAATAGCGATTTTTTTAAGTAATGCATATATCTTGCTAGTTTTATATTCATACATGAATACAAATATTATTAAATTAAAAAGAGTGTATAAGAATTAATTAGGGAAATATTCAATTAGTTTCGAATAAATTAAAGTATCAGTTAAAATTATACAATAATACTAATTGAAACTACTTCATTTTTGTGATATGGAAGAATAATCGCTTCTAACACATGTTTTATCTTGTGGAAAAGGGTTATCATAATGTTTCATAATACACTGCCGGAAATTGAAATCCCAACACCATGAAGAAGTTGTGCTAGATAAATGAAAGTTACACAGAATGTTTGTTTACATCAGTTATTATATTGATATCTATTACTCACTCGCGCGCACACACACACACACACACACACAAGGTTACAATTCGCAGGATACGAGTATAGCATTACGACGAATGCGGAATAAAATTTTCCATTAGACACGTGTGGAGCTATTCATAAGCGTTATCATTATGAAAGGCTATGATAACGTGTGATAAAATTATACAGAATGCTTCGAAGACGACAACGAACTGTAATATCGACAATTAACCCATTTTGAACGAAGCCGTATAATAGGCCTTCGGGAGGAATTATCATTTCATGATATTGCGGCAAGAATGGATCTACCGTGTACAATTGTTGGCAGCAATGGTCCCAGGAAAGCACTGCTACCAGGAGACCGGGGTCCGGAGTCTCCCGATCAACTAAATTCATCTAACATAACTCCTTCTTGATATTGGGATTTCAATTTCCGGCAGTGTGTTTTTAAAAATTGTTTATATTTTAAATTTATAAGGATTGAAAAAAATAACTTAAACTTCTTAACATTTTATAAAACTTTTTTTAAAAAGAAAGAAATATTAAATCATAATGTGGTAGAAGCTATTTCAATATAATTTTTTATACCACAAAAATATAATAAAATTTTAGAAACCTTAAACTATTTTAAATTTTAAATATGTAAGGAATTTTAAATCAGAGTTCTTAACATATTTTTGAAAAGTATTTTAATTTGTATAAATAATCTGAGAAATTTTCTAAACAGTTATAAAATTTATATACACTCAGAGAAATCGTTTCGTACGCGTACAATCAAAATTTTGTTAATATGTGGTTAACAAAAATTTTCTTGCTTTTTTCTTTAATAATTGTGATATTCTAATCAAAATTTAGTTGGGATAATACTTTTAAATAAAATAATAAGAAAATTTTTGTTAATCACGTATCAATAAAATTTTTCTCTGAGTAAAGTTTTAAAAAAATTATATAAAAAATTCTGAGAATGTTTTACTAGAGACGCTAATGAAATATGTTAAAAAATAAATTTTTTGAAAAGTTTAATTATATTCTAAAACCATTGAATGGTATTCTTTCAGTAATAACAAATTATCTTATCTTCTTTTTTATTTAAGATTGGTGACAGAGGATGGGAGATCCACCATATTAAAGTGACTAGAGTTCCCGGTTATGGTTTTGGAATAGCTGTGTCAGGAGGTTGTGATAATCCTCATTTTACTAATGGCGATCCAGCGATTGCAATCTCCGATGTGCTTAAAAATGGCCCAGCTGAAGGAAAATTACAGTAAGTTTACCACAACAAATGACAATAAATTCTTTTTTAATGCATTTTGCATAGTTTAATGTACATAGAAGAATTGTTTCTTTTTTCACCACAAAAATTTCTTACAATCATTTATTTATAATATCTTTTAATATTATTGTACAATATTATTGAGTACAAATTAGTTCGGTTTGTTTCCCAAAATTGGATCGCCTTCAAAGACGAGTCATTTTTTCGAAATGGAATTCAAAGATTGCCTGAGAGATAGGAAAAAGTAGTAACCAGCGATGGACAATACTTTAATTAATATGTTCATTCATTTTATTTTAAAATAAATGCATTTTTGAACACAAAAAACGGACCGAACTAATTTGTACACCTAATAATATATCAATATATTATTTATGAGCCATTATTATTCTTTAGTCTTTTAAAGTTTGTCTAGTAAAAGCGTGGCAGGCCTATCTCAAAGAAAAATGGCTTATTAGCCTTAAATTTATATTTATTGTATTTAGTAGGATTATGGCCAAAATGCAATTATATTAATAAGGAGTCCAGTCACCAGCTACGTCTATAATAGACTGGCACCTCCGCGGTATACTTTCCACTAAAGAAATTGCATATTCACGTGGCAAAGACCTTCAGATTCGTTGAATTTCGTTTTTAAACACTTTGAAGTTGATGTCGGTCTTCCACGAAGCTTCCTTTTGATGAGTGACCACACATTTTTAATAGGATTCGCATCAGATGATTGTGAAGGTCAGTGGAGTGTCTCGATGTCATTTCTCTCTTTCCAGGACGTGCAGAGCCGGCTTCGGTGTTTGTGGTCATTACTCTCCTGCAGTAACCAATCTTTAAAATCAGTAAAGAGAAAAAGCCTGCTTCGAAACGAGACGCGTAGGCAGCACTCATTTTGAAAATCGTTTATTCTAATTTTTCAACAATTCAAGCAACAACGGGTATTTTGCTTATAATGCATGCAGTACAAAGGTGACACCTATCGGCGAAAATAAAAATTCAGAATATATATCTTTACTCGACTGTGGGTAAGCTTTGCTACGCTCTTACTAGACAGACTGTAATATTCTCTTATTTGTTAATACTTTTCTATTATCGTAAGCAATGAAAGCTTAATTTATGTAAAAATTTTTTAGTTTTAATTGTTTATGAAATGGAAAAATTGCAATTCGGTAAGAATTTAATCTTAACTTTATTTTTTAAAGAAAAATTTAGCATTTTTTGGTATTTACCAGTTTTAATTTAAGATTATTTTCATAGTTAGTAAGATTGTTATTTGAAAATGTGTATATATCATTAATAGAGTGAATGATCGTATTATCTCCGCCAATGGAAAATCATTGGAAGGCGCTGATTATGCAAAAGCCGTGCAGGTTCTGCGGGATTCCGGTTCTACCGTTTTACTAACTGTTAAACGAAGAGCTTTCTCGAATTCACCCAGTTGTTTTGGCAGCGGAGTACCTCAGAGTTACCGGCTTACACTCACGCGAAACAACAAAAAGGATGGTACATAATTAAGCTACATGTAACACTTGCGCAATGACTTGAAGATCCCGAGCAAAACATACGTTTGGCTTTTAGTATCTCTGTCTCTCTCAATTTCATAATCCAATTATAACGATATTAATCTTATTTAATTTAATTTAATCTAATTTAATATCAATAATAAAGAGAAACAGAGTTATGAGCCAATAAATTCGTTAAAATCTTCAGAAGAATATCACATAATTTTTGGGTTTCGTCCCGGCTTCCACTACTGGACTTATCAGTAAGGCATTGTAGTGAAAGCCTACTTTAGACGCCTGGGAAAGTTTCTTTATTATTAGTTTTAAACTTATTGATCCATTATTACTAACATATTTTAATTTAATGTTTTTAATTAATATTTATTTAGTAGATTTCTTACTGAATCGTCAAGTCATTTTTATTCAACTTTTTATTATAATTGTTATCTTCGCAATGTGTGCAAGATAAGACGCAGTAATTTACTGTCTTGATTTCTAGACTTCGGCATAGTGCTGGGATGTCGATTGTACGTGAAGGAGGTTACACGAGAGAATATCGGAGTAAAAACCGGGGACGTATTAACCCGAATAGGTAGCATCGCCGCCGACAATATGAGTTTGAAGGAAGCTAGAAAGCTGATGGACCAGTGTAAAGATAGACTCTCGATCGTAATTACTCGAGATAGCTCATGTTGTCATGTGCAGCAACAAGGTAAAGGGGATAGCGGAGAATACCTGTCAGGCGCAAGTTACAGTAGTCAGAACTTATACGTTCCGCCACCTACGAGACAGCCCTTAGAGGATAAGAGTAACCTTGTGCCGAGGGGCCGTTCGCGGGGTCCGCTGATGGATGTGTCCCTGAGTCAACTAGATTTACCAGCTACGCCCACTGTGGATCCACCTAGACCACCTCCACCGAGACCGGAAGGCATGTGTCGCAAATATAAGCAATTATTTCGATCATTTCGTATATTCAAATAGGGTTTTAACACGTTGACTGCCACATTATTAGACAAAAAGTCTAAGTAAAAGATTAACGCTGATAAAAATCTCAAAAAGTTCTCAAGTTAATTTCCATATTAAACTTAATAAAAATCTAGTGTACTATTTTTATACTTTATTGTATTTTTGAATATTTTAATATAATAATTTATATGATTTCTTTTTAATGTCTTAAATATATTTAGTATAATAAAATCATTCTGATAAATAAAATTATCACTTTTAAATGATGAGTCTTGCGAACATTACCTGCTATCCAATATGCGTGACGTAGCAGTTAACGTATTAAATAAAACTTTAAGAACTACACATCTACATTATTATTTTTTTATTAATTTCAAATCTAGTATATTAAAATAATATAATAGTTTTATTTTTTTACTCAAAATTTCATTTGATATTATCTTTCTTTAATCTTTTAATGCTGTTTTAATGAAATTCTAGCCTAATGAAATACAATTACGAAACTAATTATCTTGATAATGTTCTTTTATATCGATAATTTCTTCAGATTAGTCTTTAAACTAGTGTGATAACGTTAGTTTTATAATTAGTTGTCCAAAAAAGTATTGCTATAACACGTGTGTAAAATCACAATTTTTAATATCTAGATAATAGTTTGAAGAAATCATTGATACGCACTGTTTAGACAATTAGTTTAATAACTATACATAATATCAAGGTAGCTATACATAATATGAACAAATATAAACGAGAATTTCGCTTTGGAGTCTAGAAAAAATAAAGTAAAATGATGCAACGTTAAAGATGTTTTGATGGGGATGTTAGAAGATGATTTCTACCTTGAGAGCGTCCTCGTGTCGATACGACAATTTGCAACAATAAGATGAGCGAGAAAGAGGTTTATCCGTCCGTTGCGCAATGAATCATAAATAAATTTCATGCGGTTCGTGACCTTCTGAAGACCGACTGATTACATACTATTGCCAACTCTGATAAAGTTAAAGCTACTTTTTGAACCAAAGACGATAACCGATCAGAAACGTGATTTTACTCCACGACAACGTTTGGCCATACACACAGCAAATCAAATGCATCAAAAATTGGAGCAAATTTCCTGGGTTGCGCTTGAATCCTCCCCCCCCCCTCCTAGTTCAGGGTATCGATCATGAAACTTTTTCCCTAAGATGAAAAGTGAAAAGTGAAAAATTTCTCCATTAACTTCAATGGTAAAAATTTTCAATTTTCACTTTCCATCCTAGGAAAGAAGTTTCATGATCGATACCCAGACTTAAGTTCATATGTTTTACATCTTTGGATCCCTGAAAGTGGCGTTGGGAGGGAAATGCTTTGAGGACGACACAGGAGTAGAGGCCTTCGTGCGCAATTGGTTTGGATGGACAACACGTCCATCTTCCTCTTATAATGACGGCATAAAGAAACTTCCAGTCAAATAGGGAAAATGCGTTTCCAAAGTAGAAGATTACGTAGAAAAATGAAACAAATATTTTGTATTTTAAAAAGAAGTTTTCGTTTATATAATATATTAAATTAGAATCAAATTTAACCATGCACCACAAGTATATGAGAGAAGTGTAACACAAGCCAGAGACCTAACATAAGAAGAAGACGAAGAATTAAATAATATTAGTATTGGAATAGGATATGAATACGTTCATTAATACATCTATATTATAAATGACCCTTATATATGTATATTAAAAATGACCACAGAACATATACCAAAGAGAAGCACAAGCTCCGTGATGAGTGATGGAAACGGAGAACGATCGAAGCGCCTTAAGTGGTCTAGCAGAGAATTAATATACTTTATATATATATGTATATTCATATATACACATTCCCAGCTAGAGAGAAAGAGAGAGAGAGCAAGCTGACGTTATTTGCCATCATTTTGACATCAAAATGACGACAAATAATGTCAGTTTGCTACCTGGGTTCTAATTTATGAAAAAAAAATACATATTTCATATTTTTTACAAGTTAGAAAAATTCAATGGAAGTTCTAATATAGATTGAGTAATTATAGGCATATTTTGGCGCATTAAAATCTGAAATTTGGGGAAACAAAATAAACATGTTGGAGATGAATAGGTGGATGAAAGTTATAACTGATATTCATATAACGATACTTTATTACTATAACGATTGAGACACAAGTACTGTACTGAACGAGCTCACACAGTGTTCTGATTAAACTTAAACCTATGGAATAATCGATGATTACTCCCTAATGAGTCGACATCTGGCGAGAGTGCGCTGGTCGGTAAAAACGGATGATCTGTGATCGATTAATGTTCGATCGGTTTGTTCGCTATTACATAGCTAATACATAGCTGTTCTTACAAAACACAACAGAGTATATACAATAAATAACAAAACAAGCAATGAAGTAAAAATTATATAATTTATTTTTGTATACTTTTTTTTATTAACGAATACATGAGTTTTATTAAATATTCGAGAACTGCAAAAATGCACACTTTTCCACGTTACCCTGGAGGTAGAGTGCAATAACGCGTTTTTTTATAGTGGTATCCCCAATAGGCCTATTTCACTTTAGTGTCTCTTTCACCAACCAATTTCTAATTGTACTTTATATTAAAAACACACCGAAAAAATTGTATTCTTAACTTAAGAATATCCCACTTACGTATAGTATGTTTTCCTCTAAAATAAGCGCTGAGATGATCCTCTTAATTTAAGAGGATAATCATCTAAAAATTAGTATATTCTTAAAATGAGAATATAGGGTGTCCCATTTTAAACGATAACCTCAAATATCTCCTGAACGATACAAACACGTGCAAACACGTGCCTACGTGAAAATTTCGTCCGCGTGGACGCCACCGTGAATATCCAGACTGAGCGTGAAAACAAATGCATGTGAACATCATCGAAAACCGCGTGAAACGCGCGTGATAGCAACGATCCCATTCGCAAATAAAAAATATATTCCTAATTTAAGAGGAAATATTCTTATATCTGTTAAGAGGAAATATTAAGTACATCTTTCAAGAATACAATTTTTTCGGTGCAGATAAACTTAATAATTTTTTTATTTTTGATGAATATGATTATATAATCTTGAAAACGTCAAAGAAAACCGCGTATAATTAAACTGCGTATGAACTACATTAAAATATTATTGAAATAGATTTCAAAAGGAGATTTAAATTATGTAAACATAATTATACAATATTGTTAAAAAGAATTCAAGATGCAATACAATATAATATTGAACGGTATGTATATACAAATTATGGATTCGACGTGATGAAATTTCTATTTATAATCTTCACAATCATGTAAATATCGATTAGCTTAACCGAGGTTGGTGAAAGAGACTCTTACGACCAATTTCACAGTTAACTCTTAATTGACGTTTAACTTATTCCTTATCTCTTTCCAATTCAAGAATTGGAGAGATGAGGAATAAGTGAACCTTGATTAAAAGTTAACCATGAGTTGTTGAACTGGGCCTTAATTATTCTTATAATATAGTTTTTGCGATCATAACAATAAATAGTGCAATTACATTGAATTAAACATACATATAAATAAAATAAAATAACAAACGCATAAAAGGAAATATTCAAAGAAAACTGAAAACAATCGAAATAAACGGAAAATTAAATTAAGATTAAACACAAACGGTTATTTCGTTGTACATCCAAATAAAATATAAATTTTGATCGTGTTAATTCGCACTTATAAATTACTAGCAATATATTTTAAAGCCAAGTAAAGAAAAAAACCATAGGTCTTCGTTTACGAATGCTACATAAATAAAACAAAAATCGAGTGAGTTATAATAAGAAATAAAAACTAAACATAAGTAATCTTAAAAAATCAATAACATGTCTTCAAGGCTATAGGAGTCCACCGCTGGTTGTTAGGTTGCGTAATAAATTATAAATCTTTTGATATCAACTCTCGTACGTTTCGACTTTATTTTTAAGTCATCCTCAGCACAATAATCGTTTAATCATTATTACCATCCTGGCACTCATCAAAGCAAAAATCGACGATCCACTTCAGTTTCATAGCTGAGTGATCTATATCTTTAATGCTAAAATTGTTATCAAATGATCAATTAAGTTAAATAAGTGAACCGGTAAATTCTTACCTCAACGAGAACCAACATGACGTTTAAAACTATATTCCTTAAATTATACCAACAATTGTTCCAAATTCACAAACGTGTTTAACATATTTTTTTAAAATTATTGTCAAATTAGACGTTAAAACATTATATCCATTACAAAGAGTCAAATCAACTAACTTGTCAATATGTAATACATTCAAACGTTATCAATATAAACAACAATATAAGTCAGTTCGTCATATTATAAAAATTAGGTCATATTATAAAAATAATTATATCTTATTAAGTATGTCTGTGTAAGTATGGCCTAATGCATCTGTGTCTGTTTGCAAGTTTAATCCCTTCTTTTGTCTATTAATGTATATCATTTCTGAAACTAATCTTTTATTATAATATCTCTCTACATCCAATATCTCACAATTGTTCCAATCAAATTCGTGGCTAAATTCCATTCTGTGATCCGTAATTACAGAATGAGAGGAAGATACACTATTTATATGTTTCTTGTGTTCTACAATTCTAGTATCAAGTTTCCTACCAGTCTGTCCTACATATGATGCCTCACATTGATTACAATTGATCTTATAAACTACATTTCTTTTTGCACCTCTAGACATTGGATCTTTTTGTGCTTTAATGAAATAATTAAGTTTGTTCATACTAAAAAAACACACTTTTTGACACATTCCATTTATAATGTTTTTAAACTTTATAAGGCATCATATATAGGACAGACTGGTAGGAAACTTGACACTAGAATTGCAGAACACAAGAAACATATAAAGAGCTTGAGAAGCAACAGTATCCAATTCTTCAAAATTGACCCATTGAGGAAA